CATATGGACCCGTTTGAATGTGATCAATAACTTTTTTGATATAGTCAGATTTATTCAAAAATTGGGTGGCGTTTTCTTTGTTCATTGCAAAAGCTGACAAAAATATTGCGGACTTGTTATACAACTCTGTCTATTCAGTCTAAAAATCCTGGATGTTATTTGGCGTAGAATGTCTTTCGCATTTAGTCATTTAGAAAAAAAAATAACAGACTGAGAGAAGAAATATGTCCCTATTCAAATAGGTTCCTCATCATCGGCTCTACACTAATATATATATTTTTTTAAACAAAAATGTTTAACAATCAAGTGGTTACTTTAGTTAATCAGTTTTATATATAAAGCGGGGTGAAATTAAGAGGTCAAAGGTCGGCAAAACAAGCAACTAACGGATGTTAGAAACAAGATACCTAAGTTTTAAAAACAAGGTGAAAATTTAATTACGGAATTCAAGATAAGCGGATTCGTTGGCGTTATTATTTTATTATTATTACTATTGTATTTGTTTATTTTCTTCTTCCATACATTTTAACGATGAGGAATGCAGTAACTATATTTGGTTCTCCCACCTTCCAGAGAATAGCGAAGTTAAAAGTGACATCAGGAATTCAAACTTTAGATCCTCTGATAAAGGGGATGACTGAATTTAACTGCTACCTAGCATTCAGAAAATCCCTACTGAAGTTTCAAATAGTTGATATCCTTACGTTTTATTCGAATATTGGTGTGTCTGAAGTAATATTTTGTAGCTTAGACTTAAATATAACAAGACGTAGGCTGATTTACGTTAGCGAAATTATGAAAACTTATCAAACAGTAAGATAAAATGAACGAACATATGTGTCAGCCGTGCTTCATTCGATGTGAAACTACGGCTGAAGATCTTGTTAAAACGGTGAGTAGATGATTACCTCAATGCTTAGGGGAGTAGAGCAATCGAAATTTCATTCAATGCTCAAAGCAATCTAAGAGTCATCGCCTTCTTATACTCCGTTGAAAGTTTTATTCACAAAACTACTTAACTATTGGATCCAGAAGTTTACTAAGCTGAACACGCGTTGAGCAATGTTATTTTATAGTCACAACATAAATAACCTGTATATCGAACTACGGAACTCTCCAAACTATGACAGTTTACACTGGTTTTCACTGATACTCAGTGCCTTACAACCGAATCTATTCCCACCGGTATTTTTTTCCTTCAGGTTCCAAGTGGAACATAGGGCTTCAAGCTTGAAGGCTTAGAGTTTCTAAAGCAGTATTTATTTTTTTGCAGGATGGGGTTGCTAGCCTCATGCTCAACCCTTCCTCTTTACCAGCTTTTATTACTGTCTTAGCGAGGTAAAGGAGTGCGTCGGCCGGGGATCGAACCACGAACCATGTGCGTGGTCGGAGAGCGTGCTAACCGCTATGCAACTGACGCACAATCCCACCGTTATACACGTTAATAATGATAATAATCTTTATATCCATAATCATTAAGGTTACATCTCTTATTAAACAATAGAATATGTTGAGGACAAGGTGCCTTGACAGTGTTGAATACCAAACTGGCAAAATATATACACTGGGTGAAACATGAACAGTTCTACCAGTGTTTCAGTCAAATAAAGCAATCTGAAACTCTCACTGAGCCATAAAAGTAACTAAATTTCTCTGAGAGCTTCTGTTCTGGAGAACAGTATTCTTGAATTGGTCACCACGTTAAAATACTACATTTTCTGACCAGCAAATATTATTAATTCGCAAAGCTGTGATTTGGAAATTTTAATCAATATAAATTCAGCCATTCTCGAAAGAATAATAACGAAAAAAACGGTAAATATTAGAGTTTGTGTATGGAAGATGAAATACATACGACTGAATAAAAAGTCTTTGTTTCATTTCTCTGAATAGGTAGGTAATCGTCAGTGCTGCCTTACATTCTCAGTGTTATAATTAATATTGTTTCCTTTAGTTCCTAGAGGAACATAGGGCTTCAGGCGCACGTTTCTACTGCGTTCGGTTCTCTGTCAACGTTTTCAGCTGGCTCCACGTCTGACCACATGATTTCGTCGCCTCTTCACATGAAATAGTCCATGTTTACCTTGTAATGACGACCAACTCGCCGCTTCCCACTCGAGCAATGGCCTGGCATGTGATGTCACTTGATGGTTCTCTCAGAGTATGGCCAATCCACCTTTATTTCTTCCTGCAGATTTTTTGCACATTCGGTTCCTGTTAAGTTGTTTTGCTCCTAGAGATATCTGTTGCTGATCGTTTCTGACCATTTGATCTTGAGTGGTGTTGAGTGTAGACAGCTGTTGATGAAGGTCTTCAGTTTGTTAAAAGTGCCCTTCGTGACACGCAGTGCAAGTCTCTGATCCATATAGTAAGTGTCACTGACTTTGCATTGGAGCTGAAAATCCGGATCCTACTTTTCATGCTGAGTGCTGTTGATCTGCACACAGACTTTAGAGAAACGAAAGCTCTCCTTGATTTCCCTATCCGTGATTTGACATCTTCGTCGATTCCATCCGCCTGTATTTGAAACGATGCTTCCCCGGTAGGTGGGTAGGTGAAGGAGGCTGCTTCTTTTAGATTTCCTCCGCTTACGCTGATTGTTGTCCCTTGTTGCTGTTGTTGGCCAGGAATATGTTTTCTCTTTGCTCACCTGAAGGAGATCCTATCTTCGATGCCTCTTCTGCCAACTTGTTGCTTTTGCTTGAATGTCTTCCAGTTTGTGGGAAATCAAGAAATAATAAATAATCAATAAATTTGTGAAATGATGATAACTAAGAAGAATAGGATGACTCAGAAGATTTACGTAAAATGCAAACAAGTTAATGGAATTACCTAGAATTGAGTAGTGAAGAAAAGAAGTGTCTTTTGGCTTCATCATAAGACTCTGTATTCAGCTCGCTCGGTTTCTCTCTTCTATTCTATGGAAAACTTTGGAGGCTTTGAGTTGAATTCCACTGATTTTGTTTAGTCTGCATCTGCAGGCTAACTAATTCAATAAAGGCTTCTCGATAACATTGTATTTGGGTGTGATTATTATTGTTATATCCTTTAGTTCCTAGAGGAACATAGGGCTTCAGGGTGACACATCAACTCCCTAGGTCAGTACGCCTTCAGTTCTTAGGCCTAGCTGAGGCAGTTCCCATAATGATTTTTCAACCCAATCTCTGTTTTCAGAAATTATTATTTCCTTTAATTCCTAGAGGAACATAGGGCTTCAGCCGGGCGTCTCCATTGCCTTCGGTTCTCTGCCAACGTTTTCACCCCGCTCCAAATCTGTCCACACGCTCTCATCTCCTCTTCACATGACCTCCTCCAAGTCACCCTTGGATGACCAACTCGCCGCTTCCTTTTCGCGTTCCACTCGAGCAATGGCTTGTCTAGTGATGTCACTTGATAGCTTCCTCAGATTATGGCCAACACATCTCCATTTCTACTTGCCTATTTGTTTCACAATCGGTTCCTGGTTGGTTCGCTCATTGCCAGAGATCCCTGTTGCTGATCTTTTCTGGTCGGCCATCTGATCTTGAGTATTGAGCGAAGACAACTGTTGATGAAGGTCTGTAGTTTGTTTGAGATGCTCTTTATGACGCGCGAAGTCTCTGATCCGTATAGTAGCAATGACTTCACATTAGGGTTGAAAATCCAGATCTTATTTTTGATGCTGAGTGATGTTGACTTCCACACAGACTTGAGAGTAATGAAAGCCTGTCTTGCTTTTCCGATCCTCGCTGTTTTGATATCCTCACCAGTTCCGCCTGTAGTTGAAACGATGCCTCTCAGGTGGGTAGGTAAAGGAGGTTGTTTCTTTCAGGTTCCTCCCATTTATGCTGGCTGATTGTTGTCTGTTGTTGTTGCAGCTGCTGGTGTGTGATGTCGGAAGTTATGGGGCAGAAACAATTTACTATGGAAATTAATAGGGAAAAACAACTTCAAAAGAAAAAATTATACTAACGCGAGCAAGAGTAGTGGTTGTAAAGCTTCAGTGTTTAAGTTAATTTTAGATGCATCAAAACATCAATAATTTGATTCAGGCTTTTCTGCCTAATAAGTCGAATCACAATGAAATGTTTCCTTCGAACTTATCTCGCAGTTTTTTTTTATAAATGTTTGAACAAAAACTCCTTCATCATCCTAAGTGGAATAAGCATAGTAAAGTGAATTTTACTTTAGATAATTTTTACTGTAATAAAAGCAAGTTAAATGCTGAACTTGTTCGGTGTTTCGCTGCTTCCATTTTGCTCACAGAAACAAAAAATACAGACATATAATGGTGTTTGTAAAACTAGTAGGCAACTAAGTTCCTAGATTTAAATGGATTGTAATAATTTTAGGTTGTATCCGGTCAGAATTCTACACCGTTTAGAAGAATCACCGTAAACTAGAGATTACCAAATACCTGCTTCATCCTGATATACAAGTATTCGACCGTGTATACTTACAGCCTACAAAGCAACAAATAAGAACCAGTGAGTTGATGAGACAAAAGCAAGCACCAATTTCAACAATGATTTAAACTACAAGGGTCTTTAATTTTACCCTTAACTCACGATATCGCAAATATGTTCCGGTAAGAAGTTTCAGACTGGAACTAAACAGTCGAACAGTAATATTTCTTTCACGTTAATGACTTTGACTGAAGACAGAACTAACCACCGTGCCTAATTTTTATACTCATATTCTAATTGAGGGTGTTTTGATAAGAAGTTTTTTCGGGACCTTCACTTGGTATATGGGAAAGCAAAGAAAGCTTAAAATTACTCGAAAACACTGTATGAACATCATCAATATGCCATATAATCTCATCTTTCATCCTTTTCATTTCTAATTAGTAGGCTTCAATTTCCGTGATAATTTTATGTCGTAGATAACTTTTCACTTGCTCTTTTTCAATTTTATTTCATTTTTCTGTAATTGGTTATTTAAAGTGTGAATTTACCAATTTTATTTAACTCACTTCAGCTTCAGTAATCCAACTACTGAAATGTTACTTTAATCTTCAGGTTCGATCATATATTATAAGCAAGATTTTCAGTTTGTTGAGGACAAAAGATACGAATAAGCAGCATCTTCAATCTATTGTTTATAAGTTTAAAGAAGAAATTAAACGATTTAACGAAGAAATTGGAATACCGTTTACGATGAAAAATTCCTTTTACTATGAATTTCTTCAAAAAACGAAATATGTAAGTTCCTATTATTGTTTGAATTTAGAAGTGTACAAAATTGTAGGCTCCATTATTTAATTCAATTTTAGATTTTCACGTCGATCGATTGGACTGAAATGCTCGGTCTCAGGTTGACATGTTGGCTTCTTGTTCAAATGCTTCGACGAAGTCTAGGCATTTAATTAGTACTTAATTGGGCACTGGGTTTGAGCCTTGGTGGGAACATCATCACTCACTGCGGAATGCAGGCACATCCAGCTGACGAGTCCTAAATAGGACGAAATGCGAATCCTCGATTCCACTGCTAGCCACCGTCCACCGATTGCATACTAATTAAAGGCCCAGACATCGTCGAAGCATCTGCACAAGAAGCCGACATGTCAAACTGACACCGAGAACTTCCCTCCAATCAATCGACGCGAAAATCAAAAATTCAATTCAATAATTAATATGACCCGTTGCACAAGAGGTGGCTCTCGTGGCCCAAGTGGTCTAGTGGATAACGCTTTGGCGTTTGAAACTATGGGTACTGGGTTCGAGCCTCGGGGGGAACATCATCACTCAATGTGGGATGTAGGCAAATCCAGCCGACGAGTCCTAAATAGGATGAAATGCGTGTTATCTTGGATTCCACTGTTAGTCATCACCCACCAATTAACTTCTAATTCTTTGCTCTATGTTTAATAACAATTTCACTCTAATTTCTCCGTATGTTCTTAAATTCTAAGTTATTGACACTGTGATTTAAGCGATATATATTCACGTCACTACGTTTCTTATCTAGACATCATGATCATATGTAATACAGCTCCTCCGATTAACAGATGGTATTTTTCATTGGTACTGAGAATATTTTTATTTATAAAATGACTAAGCAGTATTTCAGTTGACAGATATATCATTTCATTCACATTATATTCTAGATTATTTTGCTTGGAATCGGTAGGCGGTATATTTTTTCTAGATCCCTGAAATATAATATGATATGAGTATATATATATATATATATATATATATATATATATATACATGTATATCATTGTCAAATAGCACATGAGAAGTAATTCCTGCCTTTCACTTTAATTAGATTTTCATTTCACTGCATATATAATACTTGAGAAATTAAATAACTATTTTAGTTCTACTAATTGGGATCTTAGTCTCAAAGTTATGAATTTATTTAGTTTTCATGCTCATTGTAGCAAATCTTCCACGGGTACTTTATTGGCTGTTGAAACACACCTGCCTAATCATTGCGCAATTCTTCGACTTTCCACTTAGTGGATTATGTACACTCAAGCTATCTTGCATTTAGGCCTACAAAACTAATCTAAATTTTTAATTTCGCAATTAAATTTCTGGCGTTCAATTATGATATTCTTAATAATAAGTATGGGTTTACTGGAAAGGAAAAATATACAAAAAAAAACCTAGACATCATTTGAACTGATGGAAAGGAATTGTGAAATAATGCGTTATTGATCTATCATCACAGTTGCAAAAGTTAATACCAGCCGTAAATTTCACTTTGCTTGCTAGTTGATTTAACTAGGACAGCGGTTCTGTGCAGTTGTTCCAACAGACACTAAACGAAATCCATTTTCACTCAACTTATGCAAAAAAAAGCTACTCTGTGGTTGTTTGATATCACCTCTTATTCATTTGCATCATAACGCTATCAGTTGTTTCCTGAAAATAAGACAGAATTATTGAATTTATTGTATCGTTTTTCTGCTGTCACCTAGAAAAGGTAGGTGTACAAATGTCAAAAAAACTCTGAAATACAAAATCAGATATTTGTTATGGTTTTTTTATGCATAAGCTTGAAAGTACTGAGTTACCGGTAATATCGTCTTTTCATGTAGGACGAAAGTTAACTCCAAAGATGTATATGCTAGGTATGTATTACAAACTTAGTTAAATATGGTTGTGTTTCTTTCTTTTAAAGTAATGCTAAAAATATGTTTAACTTATCTCAATATTTGTTTCGTTATCACCTTTCGAGTCATGCTTATTACAAAACGAAGTGAAAATGGCATTTGGATACATAATCATCTACTGTTGCTGCATAGTTCAAACAAACGATTACTTATTCCAAACTTTACAAATGAAAACTGATGTTTGAAGTTTTGTTGTTGACTAAGCATACGCAATACTGCTAAGAGACATTTTGTGTTATAGATTAAGTTGAAAAGGAAAACGTTCGTCTGTAAAGGTATTAGATTTATCGGCAGGAAAAAGCATCAAATAAGTACTTTGATTGGTAGAGATCATACATGTGCAAAGAAAATTCAAGTGAACCACTTTCTAATTTCTCAAGTGGATTTCTTAATCTAGACATATTGGCTTTGAGCTGGTGTTATTGTACAGCTACTACGATACATTCTATTAGATGGTTGAAGCCAATTAGCAAGAAGTTTAGCTCGACCTAGTTAGCACTCACTATTCAGCAAGGTGTATCTGCAACCCTGAAGGAACTCGTGTCCCTTCTGAGATTTAAACCCGCATCCTCCAGTGCCGCCTGCAGTCAGAGATGTTGCCACTGAGCTATTCGGGCTTCTGAATGACCTCTGTAGGAATTTATTGGACACTTTGATTGAAAAGTGTTCGGTAATTAGTGTGACGTGTCTAGTCCTATCTTTGGAGCAAACTTAATTCTATCAGTGTTAACGTCAATAAATGCAGAACTGAATGAAGTGCTCTCGAATCTCAGAAGGGACATGAGCTTCTTCAATGTTGCAGACACGCCGCTTAACTTGTTTGGGCAGTTGCATAAGCCCCAACGGACTGATCGCTGACGAAATCTCATCACGGATATAGAAGACTTGTTTCGCATATGCCAGTTCACTCCGTCTCTGGTGTAGACGTGATATCCGGCTCGCTATCGTCCAAAGGGCGGATGTACTGCTCAGCAGTCCGCTCCCTCCTGCTTTATGGCTGTGAGACCTGGCCATTGAAAGTGAAAGACATGAAAAGACTAGCTATCTTTGATCATAGGTGGCTGATTTCCGTCTCCCACGTTAAGTACTATAATATTGAGGTTAGGCGAAGGGTGTTAGGTAAGGAGAGGAAATCAATAAATGAGACTGTGAAGTTACACCGACTGAGATAGTTAGTACATGTGTTACGTATGCTTAGCCATTGCCTTTCTCGACGAGTGATGTTAGCTGACATAGAATGGATCAGATTGGAAAAGACCTAGTGGTGGTCAAACCAAACCTTGGCTTCGTCAGTCAATGAAATCCACAACAGTTAGTTCAAGCCAATCACTAAGGGAGGTGTAAACTTCTTGGTTTGTATCCTCGGGATGGTAAAAACTAATGAAGGCTGGAGACAATTGGTGATATGGCTCAAAATCGTTCTCAGTGAAAACGCAGATGCATTCACTCTTTTTGATTTATAATGTTCAATAAGATTCTGTTGTTCTTCGATGTTACTATTCACTTTGCTGCATATTTCTGTTTATTGTCACTCTTTTGTATCTCTTCTCTTGCGTTGTGTGCTATCTGAAGTGTGACAACTCGAACTGCCAAACATCTGTGCAAAGTTCTATTTTGAAACCAGTCAGCGCATACGCCTTGCTGACGAGTACCAACTAGCACTTACTTAGTTTCCATGTTCTGTCGGCTTAAATATATTTTGGTCCACATGATGAGTGGAAAACGCTTGTTACTCACTATTTTGGACAGGTTAACCCCAGAGAGAAGACCTATAACTTAAGCAAAACACTGTCGTTTTAATCAGTTTTAATAAGGTTTAGCAAAAGCTAGCAAACTGGGACCGACAAAATTTCAAAAATCCATTTATTTGATAAACAAAAACAAAACTGGTAGGAAAAAAAGTGCAGTAGGATATCGTTTTATTTCATCTGTTCTTATCAATTTGGAGTGCACAAAGTAAAAGAATTTTAATGCCAAAATGCAGAAGGCATTGAGAGCACTTCAAGAAATAGTGTGAAATTAGAGACCAGTAATTGTGAACAATTGAATTTTTTCAAAACCACATGCATAACATTATGAATAGTGTTATATGCACAAGAAGATAACATGAATTATGGTTAGAGAACACGACACAGATGTAAATCAAGGGCAAATTATGGAAGTCCAAAGATTCAAATAACTTAGGGTAAGGCTAGTAGGAAAAGAACAGTAAAGATAAGAGTATGATTTAAATTAAACAATTAGACATATAACAAGAAAGGGGAAATTATATATAAATTAACGAAAGTCAGCTGTTGTATGGCAAGTGAAGTAAAAGTTTGCTTGTGAATTTAAAAGCTTGGCTGAAATTGGAAAAACGGACATTAATCATCTAAGAGTGTTATTAAACAATAATGTCATGATCTTTATCTACCACTGAACAAGTTATCACACTTCTAAACAGCTGCACAATATTCAGTACAAATTCCTTCAAAAACAGTTCAGACGTGTGGTTACAAATATTTGCCTTCATATTCATTGATCACTAAATTTTTGATGATATTCATTGTTGGGAAGTCAGTGAAAAACAATGGCAATCTTCATCCTATAAACCTTCCCTCTAAATACAGTTTTAAGCGTATTAGGAAAAACTTCCACCAATGTTTTGTATGCTTCCTGCGACCAAATAGATTTAACAGGGAGACAACCAATAATAGAAGTATTATAGATTAAAAATGTCTTACCATTCCGGTTACATTCCAAGGTGGCTTTTATGAGCTGATGAAAAAACTTATTAAATAGATCGAAGAAGGAAGACGCTTGTTAAAACTTATTACAAAAGGAGAAAGTAAAATATGGCCATAGGTCTTGTATGAATTTCCTCCATCTGTTTCATAGTAAAAAGAAGTGGGTTAACCTATGTGTATTCTGTAACTATAACCCCTTCCTATTGTGTGCAGTTGACACGATTCACCGAAATGACATCACATAAGATTCTAGTTTTATTCTTGCTTCGCCGATTGAACTACTAAAATATTCAACTGCCATTCAGAATGGAACAGAAATCACTATAAGTCGTCTTTTTACAAAAGCATTTCA